TTGAACCACCAGCTTTCTGGTTAGCAGTCAAATGCCTTAGGCACTATGCTATCAGAGCTCCCAAGTTTCAGTGGTGATGGCTGTACATGTTGAATGCAATTAGTGTCACTGAATTAGTACACTTAAAAATGGTTAAAATGGGCAGACGGCTGGTAATGGACACTGTGGGGGCAGGGTGCAGCCCCAACCAGGAGGTGAGGAGGGTGGGGGTTGGAGGCCATTCCCTACCGAGAACCCTGGTGGGAACGAGAGTATGTGGGACACTGTACACTAAGTGCAAAGCTTGAGGGGCAGCCTGCACAGATCACAGGACATATCCAAGGGCCGATACAGTGGGGCTGTTTGAGAAACAAGTGACCTTCTCTAGCCTTTTGTGCATGAACAGCTTCCCTGGTGCAGGTCACAAGGATGCACTGCTTCTTCTCGCTGTTTCTGTGTGGATCCTTTCATCTATAAAGTGGGCTAATGCTACACTGTAGCTCAAAAAGTAAATGTATTCATTCAACAGATTGAGGACATATTTTATGCCTGGCACTGGGGTATGTGTTGGGGATGCAAACAGAGAACATGAATACAAGGTTTCCAGCCTCTGGATGGTTCTTTCTAATGGATGAGCCAATAAATAAGCAAGTAAATAAAATAGTTGTAAAGTGTGATAAGTGAAAGAAACAGAAAAAATAAGTTAAACATTTTGTTATGTAAATTTTGTTGTCGTTGTTAGGTGCCATTGAGTCAGTTCCAACTCTCAGCAACCCTGTATGTAACAGAACAACAACGCCTGGTCCTGGGCCACCCTCACAATCATTGGTATGTTTGAGCCCATTGTTGCAACTACTCTGTCAATCCATCTCATTGAAGGACTCCCTCTTTTTTGCTGACCCTCTACTTTAACAAGTTGATATCTTTCTCTAGGTCCCTACTGATAGTGTGTCCACAATATTTTTTTGTTGTTGTTTTTAGTGTAATTCAGTGGAAAATAAGAGACTATACTCAATGCTCAGCTGCTACCCAAAAGGTCAAGAGTTCAAAACCACTAACTACTCCACTGGAGAAAGATGTGGCAGTCTGCTTCCACAAACATTACGGCCTTGGAAACCCTATGGGGGCAGTTCTACTCTGCCTTGTAGGATCACTATGAGTCAGAATCGACTCAATGGCAGAGAACAACTATCATTTTAAGAACAAGCTTTGAAGACGTTGGTCTAGATTTAGTCTCAAGTATTACCATGTGACCTCAGGCAACCACTTTTAAGACCCAGTTTATTCAACTATACAATGGAGATAATAACGACCAGCACCTACCACAGAGAGGGTGTTGTGAAAATTCATTGACATGAGTTATGTGATGTACTTGGCAATGCATCAATACTGTGGCTACCAGTATTCACATCCAAGAAAGGAATACCCCAAAGTGCTTCTAAAGGCACCAGTAAATGTACAATGCAAGCTATACATCACTGGACAGATAAACGCAGTGGGTTTGAGACAAGTTACCTCATTTTGCTCCTGGCTCTGCCGACTAACCTTATATAACTTCCTTAGTCTCTCTGAGGTTCCAAGTCCTCATCTCAAAAATGAGAGGAATGGCATCTCTACTGAGGTCGCTGTGAGGATAAACACAGATACCCTGCGTAGGCCTCAGCACAGACTGGTCATTTCCTTCACTCTCTCTCACCTGGCCTCCTGCTCTCACACCTAACCCCCAGTGAGCTGTCCTTTCTCACATTCTCAGGAGGGACAGACACACTCTCACAGCAGCTGTGGGGCTGGGCTGTTTGACCACCATCAGGCAGCATCTCTACACTCCTGCTGCCTGCTGCTCGCGTCTCAATGGACCCAGCTGACTTTCCTCTCAGAGTGCCCTCAGGAATGTCAGTGCCCATAGCCATCATGCTCTTCACAGATGCCTTCTCACTCTCCTCAAGGTCACAAGACAGAGGCAAACAGCTCACTGACATGCACTTTCTAACCAGGACTGTGGGGAACAAGGTAAGTGTGTCCTCCTGGAGTCACTGGAAAACTGCTCTACTCAAGGCAAGACAGTATTGTATTTATGGTGTTCTGGTGGCATTGTGCCTAAGGCATTTGACTGATAACCAGAAGGTTGGTGGTGCAAACCCACCAGCTGTTCCGTGGAAGGAAGATGGGGTAATCTACTTCTGTAAAGATTTACCACCTTGGAACCCAATGGGGGTTGCTATGACTCAGAATTGACTCAACAGCAGTTGAGTTTGAGTTTTATTTATATACTGCTCCATGTATATAGTGATCTTTAAAAAAGTAATGTTCTTACTCTTCCCACTGAAAAGGCCTAGACACAATGACTACACCAGTAGCTGTGCGGTCAGATTTTTGTTTTCTACTACACATTCCTGGGCTCCACTCTCCCCCAACAGGTTCAGAATCAGCAGGTCTGAGGTAGTACCCTGGAATCACGTTTTCATTGCTGCTGACATGTGCATTTAGTCCTCAAGTAATTCTACTGCACCACTGGCTTTGGGAATCACTAATCTCAGCAAATATCTCATAAATGTGAAAGGTGTGTGTGTTTTATTTGGTTTGGTTCTGTTGCTGCTGACAGTCTGTTTACTTGACACACAATCCAATAAGGTCCACATATTGCAGTTGGTTGATAAATTAAGTTTCTTTTAATCTACAGGTAGCATCTCCTCCATCTTCTTTTTCTTCGCTCTTGTAATCTATTTGTAAAATCAATCAGGTTCCAGGTTGCTTGTGCTAGAGTGTGTCCCATAACCTAAACACCGTTGGTTGAGCCCATTTACATGCTCCAGCATCTTCCATATTACCTCTAAGTTGGGGTTGGTTCTAGAGGTTCAATCAGCTCCACGTGATGTGCCTCCCAATGGAAGAACTCAGTACCAATCATGAAGAAGTTGTGACTCTTCCCCAAATCACACCTAAGCCACTGATCTGAACAACTCCACCCCTCTCAGTGCCCATTTCCTCCTTACAGGGAACTGAAGGCAACACTGCTTGGGAAGTAGAAAAGCATGTGGGGAAACCCAGAATGTAAGAGCAATCTAATGCTGGCAGCCCTTTACACAGCATCCTCCACCCAAGACCTGCAGCCCAGAGACGAGGCTACATAGCTTTTCACCACCACCATCTATTTTTCAACTCCCTCTTGCACTTACCGTGGGATTAAAAATCAAAGTGATATGTTTATGGTAGCCAACAGCAGTGAAAGAGACTTGAGGCAGGACATAGTCATACTGGGATCTAGGGAGTGTGGAGTCCAGAAGCACAACATAATTCTGTGCACAAGTGAAAAAAAGAAAGGCATTTTTAGACAGAGGCTGGCAAAACAAATGAAAACCACAGTCTAACATATGGCTGTCAAGTAAAGGACTTTAAATTTGTAAAGATATCTCTATGTGCACATATCCAAGCCAAGATTGCCAACTTCAAAGCAGTAACCCGGCAGGCTCATGCTATCAGCGACATCAGTGTGTCTCTGTGTTTCTGAGACTATCTCCTGACAAGGCTTCCAACGCCTGCAGCACTTTTTATGAGCACAGTCAACCATGACAATTATGGGCCTTTGAGGATCTGATTTTACGAAACACAAAAAGTTAATAGGAGCCAATTATGATGAGCCAATTATGACTGAGGTAGACGTTCAAACTGAGGAAGATGGATTTTGATCCAAAATGTGGTTGATTTTTAAGGGGCAATACTTAAGTGGCTTATAAGAAGGCATCTCTGGACAATACCAATGACAGTCACCTCCCTGTGGGCTGCATCCCCAACATGTGGCTGGACACCATGGAAACCACATCAAGCCCATGGCTGCTCTGCTTTCCACCCCTGACATGCTCAGTATGGTCACTCCCACTTGAAAGATGGGGAGAGTGAAGGATGAAGAAGGTAAGAGTAACTGGCTTAGGGTCACTCAGGTAGTAAGATAGCTGAGCAGGGTCTGATCAGGTTCAGCCTGACCCTGAAGCCAAGCTGTTTCCATGGCCCTTCAGTGCCTCTTCAGAGCAACTGCTTCAAGATCATAAAAACTGCTACCCAAAGTGACTTCTGAAGGGGAACAGCCCCTTGGAGAAAGGAGACCCTAAAATTCTATCACCTGTTTCATTATTTCACGGTCATTTTATACAGAGAAAGGCCACTGCACAACACCCTCACGGCAGGTGGTAAGAGGCCAGAAGAACTTCATAGGACCTGTTCACCATGTACACCTTCAGGTTAAGTCCATTCGTGAAAAGAAGCGAACATTTTGCAGTGTGGTCCTACCACACCAACTATAGTATTTTGCTCTGTCCAATTAGAATTGATAATAAACATTTCGTATAATCAATGAAAGATGTCCCACATTAGGCCTTGATAAGTAAACTATGGTGATTCCTACAATATGGACTATACTATGCAACCATTAAAAATCAAACTATACAAAACTCAGAATCATAAAAAAACCAGGCTGACTGGTCTGATAGATACTGGTGGAGTCCTTGAGACTGTGGCCCACAGTCACCCTTCAAGCCTGGAAGTGAACTCACCCCAGTGATTCAACTTTCAGCCAAGCAACAGACGGGCCGATAATGTAAACAGTAACACTAGAGGGGTACGCACTCCTTAGAACAATCAGCCAAACATGATCAAAAGAGCAGCTTCTTCCCAGAGATAAAGCTCAGAGGCAGAAAGGGATAGGAAAGAAGGATGAATAGAAATGGGAAATATAGGGAGGAAGTGGGAAGAGTGATGCTACATTGTAGGGACTGCAATCAACGTCATGAATCAAAATGAATGTGTGTATGAATGTGTATGAAATCATGGAAAACCATGATTTCACTCAAATCATGTTATAAAAGTTAATAATGGGGGAAAGATCTTTCATTTATTATTCTTCAATGAAAAGCACAGATGACAAAGCACTGTACAGAACGGTCCCAGTTTTGATTGATTGATAGAGACAGACAGATGTTGCTGGGAGGCACCAGTGAGTCACTTTTGACTCACAGCAGCTCCATGTGACACAGAAGAACTGCCTCATGGGTTTTCTAGGCTGCAATCTCCACAAGAGCAGGCTGCCAGGTCTTTCTGCCATGGAGCCACTGGGTAGGTCCAAACCAGCGATCTTTTAGTTAGCAGCCGAGTACTTAATCACTCCACCACCAGGACTCCTCCTTGATAGGCAGGTAAATTTGTGTGTGTGCATACATGTGTTCTGTCTCCTTCACACACACACACACACACACACACGTGTGCACGCACACCCACAGGCACGGTCATTGAAAAAAGACCACAAGGATTCCACAATGGTTACTTCTGGATAATGGGATTCTGGCTGATTTTTATTTTTTCTAAAACCTGCTATGAATATGCATTATTTTGTACACAGAAAAACAGCTGATTAAGAAAAACTAACTCCTAATCTCTTTTGATTCAGAGAATACAATGTCAACCATTTCTGCAGAATGGTATGATAGAGAAAAGCAAAAGAACTATATTTCCATAAATTCAAAAGTAGATGATTAAAACGAAGAGAGAATCCAGCAGAAAGTCGTAGGTATTACCTCGCTGTCTCTGAGCAGTGGAGGGAAGTGGAAGAAGAGGGACTGGCCAAGAGACACCGTCTGGATGGGGTTGTCAAGGTTCTCACCTTTGTAAAGCTTCACCTGGAGAGCAGAAACAAAGCAGGGCGTGCTTGGGAAACTGCAACATGATAAACATTTCATCTCAGACACCCCCAAGACAGCTTATCTCTTGGGGGGGGAGGGGGAATCTTTGGAAACATGGGTATTTGAAAGAGAAACCATCCTCCCTGACAGGTTATACATAATGCATTCTTCAATCATCTGAGACTCTGATAACGTGCCATGCATAGAAATGCAAGGTTTTAAAATAGATTCTAACCTCTGTCATCACTCAAAAGAATAATAGTTATTATAAGGATAACGTTAAAAAAAATAGCTGCTAATGCCTGTTGAGCATGTATAATATGCCAGGTATGCAACAGGCACTCTGAATGCACTATCACCATTCCTGAGTATAAAACAGGCGTCATTATTAACCCTATGGAGACTCAAAGAGAAAGATACCTGAGGTCACAGAGCTTATACATGACAGAGACTGGGACTGAACCCACGTGACTGATAGTCTTGCCCACCTTGCCTCTCCATGTGATTAAAAAAAAATCTACTGCTGTCAAGTCAATTACAATTCATAGCAACTCTATGATATGGAACCTTCATTCCACAAGTATTTTTAAAATTCAAAACGCTTTCCCTTTTTGCATTGGGTTCTCTGGACTGCTTCAAAAAGTTCAGTGTTTTGTTCCTGGCTGTTATGTCTCTCAGGCCTGATTCTGCTGCCTGTTCTTACACCATGTGCAGTGAGGCATGAGGACAAGTATGAAGCAGGCCTGGCCGATACACAGACTGTGGGTCGCCATCCTTCACTTGCCACAAGAGAATACCAGAGACCTCCACCCCAGGTCTAGGCTGATACTTTCTCTATTTTATGACACAGAAGACAAGGGGAAGTTTCCTAAAACAAAGCTAGAGACTAGAGGCCTATGCACCACATCCTGACCACGGATGTGTTCTTTTTGTCCTGAAGAGTGAAGTGAATTCAAATTCATTGCCTATATTTAAAAATGAAGGAATTTCAGGTGTCCATCAACCGAGGAATGGATAACCAAACTATGGTACATATACACAATGGAATACTATGCAACGCTAAAGAATAATGTAGAATCTGCAAAACACTGCATAACGTGGATGAACTTGGAGGACATTATGCTG